AAATTCAAAATGATCACAGTTTAATTACTAGTAACGCTGTAGATTCTGGCAAGGTGATTATTAGCAAGAAATTTTCAAATAAAAGGGGTATGGTGAAGGATCCGAGTAACCAAAGGAAGAAGCAACTTAGCCTTTCAGTTGCTCAAAAATCTTTCAAAATATCATCCAAACCACAACCCATTTCGAAAGTTGCCAAGGCTCAAGTTACTCTTAGCATGACAGAAGAAGAATCAACCTTAGTTCACAAGGATGGTGTTAGGAGCCTTAATTATGGTTCTGATTCGTTGAATACAAATAACGTCTCTGCCAAGTCACTGGAAACTGACATGGAAGAGGAAAAGAAGCTGACCAACCTTCCAGAAAGAGTGCTAAAAGATGAAAATAAACCGCCTGACCCAGTGGTCAAGTCGGTGATGACAAGCGAAGTTCACAGCATGATGTTGCCTTCGTGTGATACTTCCTCTTCGGAAGACTCTATGGTGCAGTCCAATTCTTAATGATTGGCATCTGTCTTTGGCTTTTTTCCCTATTTTTTATGTATTTTTTTATGAATATTGTTTCATGGAATTGTAGAGGGGCTGGGAAAAAAGGGTTTTCCCCCCTTATTAAAGATTTAACCAGGAGATTTCATATTGGTGTTTTAGCATTGTTGAAAATTCGCATTAGTGGTGCTAGAGCAACAAGAGTTGCAAAAAATTTGGGGTTTTCGAAGTATTTTCTTTCTGACCCTATTGGTTTTTCAGGTGGTATATGGATTCTTTGGGATCCATTAGAGGTGAAGATTGAAATTTTACATTCTGATCATCAGTTTGTTCATTCTAAGTTAGTCTGGCTATGTAACAAAAAGCTGGAATATCTAACTTTTGTTTATGCTAGCCCCCGCCACCAGGAACGTATATCTCTCTGGGAGTCTTTGGAGAACATTAAACCACCAGATAACGAAGCCTGGTGCATCTTGGGGGATTTTAATTCTTATATTCATGCAAATGAGAAAAAAGGAGGGGGAGATCCTATCTGGCGTGGTATGCAGGATTTTCAGGAGTGCCTAACAGTTTGTCATCTTGCTGATCTTGGTCATCAGGGTCCCAAATTCACCTGGAGGAGGGGGGTCTCTTTTGGAACGACTTGATCGCGCTTGTGTTAATGAATGCTGGAACTTGACCTTTCCAAATAGATTTTTGTCTCATCTCCCTTATTATAGTTCAGATCATCGCCCAATTTTGCTCTGGGAAGGACAACAATCTTTTAACACCGGTGGAGAAAAGCCTTTCAGATTCTTGGCGGCTTGGTTGACTCATATATCCTTCTCTGATCTAGTTAAAGAGAGTTGGACTAGAGATCATAAATGGCACTTAGCGAGCAAACATTTCCGTGAAAAAGCCATCACTTGGCACACGGATTGCTTCAAGGAAGAGGAGAGGAAAAAGAATAAGCTCCATGCTCGTCTTCGAGGGATTGACCGTAGTCTTAGTCAGCAGCATTGCCATGCTTTAGAAATTCTTCAACAGGAAATCTGGCAGCAACTAAACACTATCTACCTCAGAGAGGAGATTACTTGGTACCAACGTGCTAGAGCTGACTGGATTCGTTTTGGAGACCGCAATTCTAAATTCTTCCACTCGACAACAATTATTAGGCGAAGAAGAAATAGGATTGATGCTCTTCTCATGGATTGATGACCCATCTCTTCTCATGAACATGGCAGTGGAATACTACAACAAATTGTTCACAGATGACAACTACTCTCGTCCTTTATTTCCCATAAGGAACAAATTTCCTTTGCTGGACTGGAGGGTTCTTCAAGTGTTAGAAAAGCATCCTAGTAATGAGGAGATCAAAGGTGTCATTTTCTCTATGGGGCCTTATAAGGCGCCGGGTGTTGATGGCCTTCATAGTATCTTCTTTCAAAGTCAATGGGATTTAGTGGGAAATTCTGTGTGTAATTTTATCCAAGATGTCTTCAAAAATCCCCAGCAAATTGAAGTAGTGAATCAGACTCTACTCTGTTTGATCCCTAAAATAGGGATACCCCAAACTTTTAAGGACTTTCGCCCGATTAGTTTATGTAATGTTATTTATAAAACGGTAACAAAAATTATTGCTAACCGTTTAAAATTGCAGATGAACAGTCTGGTGATGCCTAACCAATGCAGCTTTATCAAAGGGAGACAGGGCATTGATAATGTCATAATTGCCCAGGAGCTGATTCACTCAATGCGGACCAAAAGGGGATTTAAAGGGTGGATGGCTATAAAGGTGGATCTCGAGAAGGCCTACGATAGAATCAACTGGGATTTCCTTGAAGATACCCTATATGACATAGGGATCCCTGCTAGCTTGATACGTCTTATTATGTGGTGTGTTTCTTCGTGCACAATGAACGTTCTTTGGAATGGATCTTGCACTCAAGAGTTTCGTCCCAAAAGAGGTTTGAGGCAAGGAGACCCATTATCTCCCTATCTCTTTGTCCTCTGTATAGAAAGATTGGCTCATCTTATCAACCAGGCTGTGGAGCAAAAAAGTTGGAAGCCGGTGGTGATCAAAAAGGGAGGCCCGCCAATCTCCCATTTATTTTTTGCTGATGATCTTCTTTTGTTTGCAGAAGCTACTCAGGAGCAAGTCACTGTAATACAACATATTCTTCATACTTTTTGCAGTTCCTCAGGGCAGAAAGTTAACCAGGGAAAAACTAGAGTCTATTTTTCTCGTAATGTGGGGCACACTAAAGCAAGAGAGCTTAGTCATCATCTAGGATTCTCTCTTACTGCAGATCTTGGCCGATATTTGGGTATCCCCCTACATCACAAGAGGGTGGGCAGATCATCATTTTCCTATGTGTTGGATCGCCTTCATTCTAAAATGAGTACTTGGAGTCATGCCAGTTTGTCCCTTGCTGGTCGAGTAACATTATCCAAAGCAGTGTTGACTGCTATTCCATCCTACCCGATGCAGGTTAGTATATTTCCTCATTCCACTTGTGATGAGATTGATGCGAAGATCCGAAGCTTTGTTTGGGGTTCTTCTTCCACGACTAGGCATCCTCATCTTGTTGATTGGAATCAAGTTTGCTTGGATAAAAGTCATGGTGGGCTGGGATTGCGCAATATGAGAAAGATGAATTCGGCTTTTATCATTAAGGTTGGATTTAATCTTCTCGCTCATCCTGATACTTTATGGTCCAGGGTTCTTCGTGCAAAGTATAAAGTTGAGGAAGGTATGACGCCCCATATTAATGCGCCAAACAACAGTTCTCAGTTGTGGAAGGGAATCAAGCGTCATTGGGACATTATCTTAGACCACAGTCGAGTCTTAATTGGTGATGGTAGATCCACTATGTTTTGGTTTGATAACTGGCTTCCTGAATGTGGCCCTCTGATTACCTATGCTCAATCTCATGTTTCTGATGCTGATCGATTGCATTATGTGACAGACTATGTGGATGTGTCGGGTTATTGGAAATGAGATTCTTTGCATCATCTGTTCCCTGCTTGCATCATCCAGCGGCTAATGAATTTTCTTCCCCCCTCTGATCAAGATGGTAAGGACCACATCATCTAGAGCGAGACATCAGATGGGATTTTCACTCTAAAGTCAGCTTATGATTTGCTAAATAACAACACAGCTACAGCTCTAGCTTATCAATGGGACAATATCTGGAGGTGGATGGGACCGGAACGAATACGTATGTTCCTTTGGTTGTTGGTTGGAGAAAAGTTGTTGACTAATAGTCGGAGGCTTCAACGTCACATGACCTCTTCGGGTGTTTGCCCTAGATATAATATCTCTTGTGAAACTAATCTCCACGCTATCCGGGATTGCCCTCAGTCAAAAGAGGTTTGGAGGTTGGTGGTTCATCAAACCAGTTGGCAGGTATTCTTCTCGCTTAATCTGCATGACTGGATCTTCTCTAACTTAAAAAATTGTAGAAGCTTGGCAATGGACGATGATTGGCCTTTGACTTTGGGATATTAGCGTGGAGCATTTGGAGGAGCAGAAACACTTGGGTTTTTGAAGGAAAAATCAATAATGCTTACACAATTGCCCACTCAGCCTTGGGGTATAGCAATTGTGTCAAGCATACAGCTACCACTCTCCATGCAGCAGGTCTTCAACCGAGAAAAAGTGTAGAGAAGATGATAGCTTGGTCTTTTCCTCCGTTAGGATGGGTTAAACTTAATGTTGATGGGGCTAGAGCTGGTAATGGGAACAGATCAGGATGTGGTGGTGTTATTCGTGACCCGTCCGGAGCTTGGATTATCGGTTTCTGCAAGAATTTGGGGCCAGGTACTGTTTTGCATGCAGAATTATGGGCTTGTTTGGAAGGTTTGCGTTTAGCTTGGGAAAAAGGATTTAGAAAAGTGTGGCTGGAAGGAGATTCCCTCTCAGCCCAACAGATTATTTCTAATGGGTGTCATCAGGATCACCCTTCGTCGAGCTTGGTGCAACGTATTAGAGGAATGTTGCAAAGATGCTGGCAGGTCCAGATTTCTCATGTCCATCGTGAAGGAAACAAAGTAGCTGATTTCTTAGCTTCACATGCGTATAGCTTTCCATGGGATGTACAAGTCTTTGATGACCCTCCTCCTGGCTGTCTTCAAAGTTTATACAGCGACACTGTAGGTGTTCGCTGGGCTAGGTTCTGTACTTAGGCCTTTTTGTTGTGTTTTTCATTTCCTTTATCTTTCAAAAAAAACATACTTGGAGCGTTTGGTACAAGTGACATTTTGTAGAATTTTTGGTAAATTGAATTTTTATAAATTTTTATTTTTCGGATATTATCGTAAACTAAATATTTTCATCATATTTTTGAAAATTGAAATTTCAGAATAAAAAAACTTTTAGTCTACAAAACGCCCCCCACTGGGACTATTCATAACCACATCTGCCCTCCTATCAGTCAACAAAGCGCCAAACACAACGGTCGGCTCTTATTCTCCAGTATATTTCGTTGTCTATATATAGCGGGAAGGAAAATAGAGCAACCACACACAAAAAACATTATGGATACAGAAAATTGCATAGTTCGGAAGCTTTATGTTCTGGTGCACGGTTGTTGCCATGGGGCTTGGTGTTGGTACAAGGTTAAGCCACGCCTGGAATCTGCTGGCCACCAAGTCACAGTACTTGACCTTGCAGCTGCTGGTATCAACATGAACAAAATAGAAGATTTTGATACTTTTTCACAGTACTCTGAGCCTTTGTTGCAGCTATTGCCCACAATCCCCCCAAATGAAAGGGTAGTTCTTGTGGGACACAGCCTTGGAGGGCTTAGCATAGCCCTTGCCATGGACAAATTCCCCCAAAAGATAGCAGTTGGTGTTTTCTTAGCTGCTTTTGTGCCAGACATTGAACGCAAACCGTCTTATGTCATTGAAAAGGTATGCATCTGAGCCTTGAGGATATTTTTTTTTTGAAATTTCATCAATTCGATCGGTCATGTCATTAAATTACATACTACTACTGCATCCACATTAAATTTGGAAGAGAGGGAGAGAAATGAAGGTGGAGAAAGACTTTGACAGCTAATCTAATTAATGGGGAAATATATTGTAACAACCAACTAGTGTTATTATCAATCAATTTCACCGTTAGATCGACTATGTGATTCAACATTTATATTTAATTCATGGTTATGATTCCTCATATTTAATATTTTATATTTTTTTCACCTTTGTATGGTTATGATTTCCCATATTTAATGCTTTCACATTAAATATGGGAAATCATAACCATACAAAGATGGAAATAAATATAACCGTTGGATCAATATAATCGATCTAACAGTAAAATTAATTGATAGTAACATTGATAGTAACACTAATTAATTGTTACAATATCTTGCCCCTTAATCTAATAAGGTAGAGTAGAATTGTGAAAACTTTGGTGGACTGATAACTATGACACACTTTACATTCATCTTGATCATCATATGTATATTTTTTTTAACTTCAACAGTTCAATGAGAGGACCCCAGCTGCTGAATGGTTAGACACTGAATTTTCCAAATGTGGAAACAGAACATCATTGTTATTTGGTCCTAATTTATTGTCCACCAAGCTCTATCAACTCTCCTCCGCTGAGGTAATTATATGTTACAAGTTACAAGAGTTACCTCCTTATCTCATACTAATGCATGCTAAGAAATGACATGTTTGGATTCCACAATTGGATTTTGTAGGATCTTGAATTGGCCAAGGCCTTAATAAGGCCAGGGTCACTTTTTCTTGAAGACTTGTCTCGGCAAAAGAACTTCTCCAAAGAGGGATATGGATCAGTTCCACGTGCTTTTGTTGTTTGCACTGAGGACCTAATAATTCCATTGGAATATCAGCTCTGGATGGTCAAAAATGCAGGGATTAATGACGTGTTAGAGATCAAAGGCGCTGATCATATGGCTATGCTTTCCAAGCCACAAGAACTATGCGAATCTCTCCTCCAGATAGCTATTAAATACGCATAAGTTCATGGAGCATGCCTTAATATTATTTGTTGTGTTTGAATTTGACTTGTGTTCGAAAAATAAGTCTCTCTTTTGAAACCACAAGACATATCAATAAAGTGACATTCTTGCATCTCGTGTGTTTTTTCGGGGTACAAGCACGCAACTTTGTAAAATTCACAGTCCGAGTTGTATTTCTGTGTAAATTCATGTTAATGAATAAATTGAACTTATTAAATAATTGATAGGTTCCAGTGTCGTTAAATAAATTCACCAAAACCCATAATTAAGTCGTTCATATGGTAAGCAAACTTCGAGTAATAATTAATCCAGCAAAAAAGCTCGACAAAATAAATAATAAAAATAATTCACAAAGAAAATATAGTAACTAAACCGTTGAAGTATAAGCACGCAATTTAACTCATAAAGCATACAAATTTTTAAAAAATTTAGGGTCTGTTTCGAGCACCTGATAAAGAAGATAGGATAGGATAATTTATCATATCCTACTTGTATCTCTTGTTTGGTGGGTCAATAAGATATGATTAGTTTATCCTATTGTCTCATTTTATCCTATCCAATACATGATTTCTTATCCTATGGGGGGAGCTGAGTTAGGATTCAATACGATAGAATACCAAAATTGGATACTCAATATATCTTCACGCTACCCAATATATCCACACGCTACCCAATATATTTGTATTTATTGCATTTTTTTTTCTTTTATCTTTCTACATAATCTTATCATATTGCTAATCAAGTGCTTATCAAACAAAGGACATGATATAGGCTTATCAGCCCTATATCATATCCTATCCTTATCAACCCCCTATCATATCCTACCTGTTCTGTCTGAAAGACAGAGGTGTCCAGCCGGTGGCTGGTATATTTTATGTAGGATCTATGTGCCCTCTCTTAGGTATCTATGAATGAGATACCTTTGATGGTAGGCTGATCACTGTGCACAATAATATCGACATAGTCAAGGCGTGAGGTGTGTGGACAGTGACAAGCTAAGAGAGAGGGTTTAGAGAGTGTGTGTACCTTATTGGTTTAACCTCGTATTTATAAATGAGTTACCTGAAGGAGTGTACTTCTGGGCCTCTTAGGAATATTGGGGGCCTAAGTCCAACTGCTTAGCTGTCTGGATAAGATTGTCATTAATAGGAGATTTCTTTTCTTTTGTGTTGTCCTTTATTGGTCCTTCTAGAATATGAGCCTTTTGTCAGGTCCATAACAGTACCCTTATCCTATCCTGTCCACTAAACGAGTCCTTAGTATACCAATGAACGAGGGGCAGATAACCAATGTCTGAAAATTTTCAAGAATTTAAAAAAAAAAAAATATATATATATATATATATATATGGATTTTATTAATCTCATGTTAAAGGAGATAGTTATCTCATGTCATAGAGACAAACTAGTGGGCTCCACCACCTGAAAAAATAAAAGAAAAGAAAAGAAAAAGATGACAGTTATCGAAGGGTGTGTAGAAGAGAAAACTTATATTATGTGACATAAGAATAGTTTTTTTCCTATATATATATATATATATATATATATATATATATATATATATATATATATATATTAGTGAAATAACGCTTTTTTTGGAAAAATTAGTACTTATTATAGATAATTTTATCAATCAAGTCAGTTGCCCTCTTTAGCAATCTTTTGAAAGCAAAGTAGCAAACAATTAATTTTGACAAGACAATATCATTATGATTATACTTCAAAATAATTGTACTTCATAATACTTTAAAATAATCTTAAAATTTAAAATCAATTAGTTGCAAATAGTTTTTTCTTTCCCAATTTATCAAACGGACCCATGTGATCAACGAAACTATCACCAGTTTTTTTGGTAAAAAGAAAGGCAAAGCCCAAACTACTCTGTAGTCTGTACCCTTTCGCTGGAAAGGACACGCTAGCAAGGTCTTGCAGTAAAAGATGACCGCATCCATTTGGTCTCTAGCACGTGTAATTTTTTTTAATCATTTTATCCGTTCTCAAAACTCGAAGTTGAGATCTGGAATGCATGTAGACTTATGATGTGCATGATAATTATTCTATTTTCTGACACTATTTTTAAAATTAAATATTTTTTTCTATTTCAGTGCCTTGGAACAGTTCTTGAAGAAAAAAATGTATTTGATAATATGTTATATTTTTACTCTGAGAATGAGAATTACATCTGATAACACAATAAATATTATAATAAAAATAATTCTTTTTAAACATAATTTTTTTTTCGAATCATCACTTTCATTTCTATATGGTGGTGGTGGTGGTGGTGACATCAGTGACTGCGGCGGCGGTAATGATGGTGATGGTAGTGGTGGTGGTAACTCAGTGACTGCGGCGGCGGTGGTAATGGCGGGGATGGTGGTGGCGGCGACAGCGATAATGGTGGCGTGGTAGTGTGATGACAGTGGTGGCAGCAGTGGCTGTGAAGATCATGGTGGTGGTTGGTGATGGCGATGGTGATGGTGATGGTGGCGGTAGTGGTAGTGGTGGCGGCGTGGTGAGGTGATGGTAGTGGTGACAGCGGTGATAGTGGTGACGGTGACATGGTGGTTGTGGTGGTGGTGACGACGACACTAGTGGAATGACGATAGCAACGATGATGGTGGTTGTGGTGGTGGTGGTGGTGATGATAGAGGTGAAGAGTGATTGAGAGAAGTGTTTCTGATTTTGTGTCCGAGAAAGAAAAAATAGAAAAAAATTATTCTTTTTTCTATTCCCAGCACAAAAATTAAACTGGTTCATCTCAGAAACAAAAAATAAACTGATTTTATCAAACGAGTTTTATATCCATTTTTATTCTCAAGAACAGAAATTATAAATAAAAAAAATGATTTTAAAAAAATTGCCATGCACACCCTTAAATCACACTATGAGAATAGCTTTGTGCCAAATCAGTACTCAATTCCCATCATGGAGCTCATGCATTATTCGAGTATCCCATGACTTCTGTCTTATCAGGTTATATCGGATATAGAAAAATAAAAACAATTTTTATATTTTACATTATATCTTATGAGTAAGATATAGTCCGATGAATTGAATTGCAGTGCATCGTATGCTGTGTAAATGCTCTCGTACAATAGATGTAAATGGGTGGGAGGAGGAACAACCATTCAACCAATGCATGCCGACGGAACAACAGTAGACAAATCACATTCAATCCAAAGTTGTGCAATGCCATCATCTTAACTTATAAACAGAACGGTGCAATTTGTTCCGCAAATATAAAATTATTAATATAACTTCTGTAATATCTCAAAAAACAAAATAATAATAATAATAATGTGTACCCTTATGTATAGTGTTATAGGCATTGATTGCTAATAGTGTGTCATGATATGACTATAAAATTGTAACCTTAATTAGTGGTGATTTTAGTTGTAACGTTTAGCAGTTATGGTTAGTTATCATTTAGTTAGTAAATGCCAACAATTATTTTTATTTAATTTTGTAACCATTGAGATATTATAATTAAAATAATTATGATGACCTTTCATTTTACCTGCAGTTTTTATAACTAAAATAATTATGATGACCTTTGATATTAGTTGCAGTTTCAATAATTGAAATAAGTATATAACTTTTGATATTACTTGCAGTTTCAATAATTGAAATAAGTATATGACTTTTGATATTATCTGTAGTTAATGTCTCGGTTTCAAAACTACAGCTATAAATAGGAGTTTAACCTAATCAAACCAAACCACTTCCCAATTCTCAACATTTCTCCATTTCTCTTCTCCTCTACTTTCTCTCTTCTTACTTCAAATTTTTATTTATTTTATTTTACTATTATTTTCCTTTGGATACCAACCGCTTTTCTTCCTCCAATCACTTTTCTTCTAAAAGGTAGCCAACACGGAGACCAGGTAATCCTAATCCCTAGGTGGTTGTAGATTTGTTGTATAGAAATTTGTTGGGTGTATCCTAAACCTTTAGTTGTAATAGATTATTTATATACGGATTTTGTTTGATATAATATTGACCTTTACGGAGTAATATATTAATTTTATGTGATTCTTATTTGATATAATCCCAATTTGTTATATGTAATCCTAATCCCTAGGTATTTGTAGGTTATCTCTTTTATATGAAATTTGGGCATAATCCTTATATGTAATCTTAATCCCTAGAGAGTCAAGGGTTAGCTTTATATGAATATTTGATGTAATCTCGATGCTTAGGGCACTATATCCTGATCCTTAGGGCATCTTAAATTATTTTTAGATGAAATTTGGTATATGTAATCCTCTAGGTGATCGTAGGATAATTTTATATTAAATTTGTTAAATATAATCTTGATCTTTAGGGAATTTTAGGATGTTTTCATATATTATATCAACCCTTAGGGTATTTAAATTAAATTATTTCAACATCTAAAATTTAATTGGATTAATAATTGGATTTTGGCTTTACTCTAATAGATGTGAGATGTGAATATTTGAATTATGATTTGGAAAATTATGATATGATGATTGGATTTGGATTTTACTCTTATAATTATGATTTGGAAAATTATGATATGATGATTGGATTTGGGTTTCACTCTGGTAGATGTTGAATAGGAAAATTATGATATTATTGGATAATGAATTTGAAAATTATGATATTATTGAAAGATTGAATTTGGAAACTATACTCTTAATTTGATATGAAAATCATGAAAACTATTTGACAATTATGAGAATCGTGATAAGATTGAATTGTATTGATTGTGTGTGATTGTAATAAATAATAGTGGAAAGATAGCTTTTGGGATGGTACCTCCTGAAAGTGATGAACACAATCTTTGGGCTTTATGCCTTTGATATTTATTTGTTGTGACAAAGATGTTTCCGTTCTTCCCAAAGTGGTATCTGGCAACAATGGTTATTTCCCGGGGTACTAGTAGCAACTTTGGAAAGAGGTGTGCACACTAGGATTTGATATTTTGATGATGGCCAATTTTGATTATACGTGACTGGCAACAGTGATTATTTCACGGGTCACAGGGTAGACTGGCAACAGTGGTTATTTCCCGGGTCTACCATGGTTCTCTTCCCACTAAATACAATGAACTTAAACATTATTAATAATGAAATTTGTTATTTGATTTGATTATGATGAATGTCATTGAGTTGTGAATATTATCATATTATGATTAAGGTTGTGCTGAATATGTTAGTTGATAATTAATTACCCTCACTGCTACACTAAATAAACTTAATAAAGATTATTAAACATTATTAATAATGAAATTTGTTATTTGATTTGATTATGATGAATGTCATTGAGTTGTGAATATTATCATATTATAATTAAGGTTGTGCTGAATATGTTAGTTGATAATTAATTACCCTCACTGCTACACTAAATAAACTTAATAAAGATTATGAATAATATTTGATTCTATGTGAATATATATTGAAGTTGATAATTTGATGTAATTGTGATGAGAATATATATGATGAATATTGAAGTTAATATTTGATCTGATTATGATGAGAATATTTTATATATATGATAAAGTTGATATTTGATTCAATTATTAAGAAATTATATATTTAATTTGATTACTATATTTGAGTTATGTAATTTGTGTTTTTGATTAGGATTACCAGCTTCGCTGACTGTTTGTGTTTGTTTGACTGCAATGATCCTTTTGGGGGAGCAGATTTTCCGTGATACAGGTTGCAAAAGATGGGACTAGTAGTGAGCAGTGAGGATAATGACTTAGAGAATTTCCAGCTAGTTCTAAATTTTATGTATTAAAACAAAGTCTCTGATTTTATCTTTACATTTATGAATGTAATAGAGTTAGGATTGCACTTGTCCATGTACAGGTGCATCGGTAACATTCTCCCAAATTGGTTTTAGTTTGGCTTCCGCGGTATTTCTATGATCATAAAAATAAACAAAACAATAAAACGTGAATTTTGGCAATTTCTTTATTATAATAAGGTTTCATAAATTGTTAGAAATTTGGGAGTGTTACAACCTCAGTTAATATTTTATGATTTTAGAATTAATTCTTTTTATGATATCAGGCCTCAGTGATTAAATAGTTACGAGTTCGATTCTCACCATATCACCATATGGTGAAATTAAGTAAATATAAGATAAATCAAAAAATAGGCAATGCAGCACTAGGTAAATTAAAAAAATGGATCTATACAATGTTAAAGAAATATAAAACAACTAATGTAGTATTATCGAATGCCTTAAAATTTTGGATTAAATTCATCTTTTATATAAATGTCCCATAATTCAGTCATTGTGACACATGCGAAGCAAATTATGTACGAAACCTGAGACCCACGTGCCGGAGGAGTCCATTAAGAGTCCCCCACAACCAAGTGTAACACCACCCTTCCAAACAGAACCATCAACATCACTTTTAGTCCATTCATCTGATTCTGGTAGAAAAATCCATCTCATGTTTATCTGCTAGTACCGCAAGCTTCGGCTATCAAAAGGTGAAATGCAGTTGGCAAACACGAATTCTCTGGTTTTGGACCAAGCTAGGTTGGTGCTCAAACATGGCTCTTTCTAATGCACATAAGTTGAAGCCAAAGAACTGATGTCTAGGAAGAGGGTGTAAAAAGGTCAGCCAAACTTCCTTGATTCTGGTGCAGTGTCTTAATATATTATGGAACAATGATCAATTTGCCACTTTTTAAAAAATAAAATTGCCGAAATGACACATGAACAGTAAAATTTTTCAAAGTGTCACGCGTACAAATTCGTTACAGCAAGTAGGGAACTTTGTTTGTTGATGTGGCATGTTTCTGGACCTAGTTCCCTACTAATAATAGCGAATTACATGAAATGCCACTATGCTCCGAATATTGTTAAGACATGTGTCAATATGGTATAAATTCGCTATACTGGTTAGCGAACTAGGGGAGAGTCAGAAACAAAAAGTTGGAAGTCATAAAAGTTGAAGGAAAAAAAGCTTTTGGAAAGAAAGAAAGAGACAATGTAATGAAAGTAGCAACACACAGCCACGTGAATTTGTATCATGGTACTGTTACCAACACACGTAGTTCGCTAGGATGCATAGCTAACTAGTTGTTCTCTTTTTCTTCAAAACGGACTAACATTTCACATAGTTTGCTATTATCAGTAGCGAACTAGGTCTAAAAACATGTCACATTAGTAAACAAAATTCGCTACATGATGTAACGAACTTGTACGCGTGATGTCACATTAGTAAACAAAATTCGCTATTGATGTAACAAACTTGTACGCGTGGCACTTTGAGAAATTTTACTGTTTGCGTGTCATTTCTGCAATTTTTTTTTTTTTTGAAAAGTGACAAATTGGTCGTTGTTCCAAATATCATTTGGTTTCCTTTAATTTGTTAAAATAAAATAAAAATTAAGAGAGCACAGTATTTATAGTGCCTCTGCTTCAGTTTACTCCTACTGATATTTCTTTACATCATAATAATTAATCAATTAATTTTCATAAACATTTAATGCTATATTTTTAGAAGTATTTTATTAAATTAAAAAATAAATTAAAAAAATCAAACAAATCTTGGTAATTTCTTAAAGAAAAATTACCAAATCCTTATTAATTTTTTCATTTTTTTCATTTAATTTTCAGCATGTGCTAATTAGGGATAGACGTTTAAAGACAATAGTAACAACATTTGGCATGTTATAGATACTTGTGGGATTAAGTCTATCCATTTCTATGCGTATTCTGTCTTACAACTTAGTTGTCAATCTCCTTAAAGCACACACCAAGGTGGTTGTAACTTGTAACAACAAGGATATTAATAAGAGAGGGAAATTAAGAAACAGATGGAGAGAATTAAGGAGAAAAAGGGGAGAAGGATGCAGAGAGAGAATGGAGAGAGAAACTTGAATATTTTCTTGTGGTGTCTTTCTCATTGATAGCCTATTTAAAAAAATTATTGCTGTAACAGAATTCTTAACAACCAACACTTCTAATGGTAAAGGAGATATTAAGGGAAATACATATGGCCTATAGTTGATTCTAAAAATTAATAAGGTGGATAACTGAGTTCCTACACTAACCCAAAGTCTTTCATCCTTTATCTCACGCAATTCCAATATCATTTTTATGCGTATTCGATCTTTTAACTTGGTTGTCATTCTCCATAAGCACACACGAAGGTGGTTGTGACAAGAAGGATGAAAATAACCCAAATTCTTTCGGTCCTTTATCTCACGTAATTCTATTATCCTAATTTGTTTTTCCCAGCCTCTAATATGCTACAAGATTCTAATATTAGCCACTCGACCCCTTTTCATGACAGCCTTTAAATGACGGGGTACAAGATTGACTTTGAATGAGATTTATAAAACCATGGCAACAAAGTTTCCACTTGTGATCTTGTCCTGCATGACATGCTTATTTGGAGGAGCAAGAATGCAAGCTCCATGTACGAAGAGAAAGGCATCCACAAGAAAGACATCCAGTAGCAGCCATTTCTTGAGCTGTGGCACTAAGACCCCATGTACCATTGGAGTAGCCATCTTATACCCATGCAGCTCAGTGAACCAGCACACAATTTACCCCTTTCAGTCCATGCATGCCACCGCCCCCTGTTTTCAGCAAGTATTCCATTCAATCAGCAAACTAAAATTTAAATATGACAGCATAAAAAATTCTGGTATAACATTCCAAAAACACTCAAGAAGCAGGCCTAGTTTCCTGCCATGAGCATCCTACTCACCCAAGTACGTAGTTCGATCACCAATAAAAAATGCAAGATAGCCAAACTTCCAGACAACATTCGTGCAGTTTTGGTAATTACTCAGTTTTCTGTCCATGGAATCCCTTTTCCTGACAGCAGAACTCTTGAAATCTTCTTAGACTACAAAATATAAGCTCATTACTATCTTCTTCTTCTTCTTTTTCAGGTATACATAATCATATTTCTAAAAACCTGACCCATCTGTTAAACAAATAAATTCATTGCTATGCAACATACCGTTTCAGAAGCACTTCAGGATTATATGGAAACAAGTTCTTTTGATGAAGATTTTCAACAGAATTGTTCAAAGATAGTAAACATTCTGCAGCTTTCTTGAATGGCTTAATAAAATAGTACTTGAAGCCATATTGAGTGTCTTCCTTATAATTCTTGATATGCAATACGATACTCGCCTCGTTGTCAACTGAAGAAGGCATTCCATCTGCCAGGAACTGTGGACCATCCCCTAAAACTTTTCTTCTCTTGCAAGATGATTGATTTAAAAATTCTCCATTTAGTGGAAATTCCATAAATAATTTCCATGAGTTGCATATCAAATGCAAGATCCTACCAACACACATGCAAAAGAGAAAAATGTAAATGCCAACTTTCAAATAGCAATAAGCCAGGACAAGTGCCAAAACCAAAATTCATTAATTTATTAGTAATTCTCTTTCTTGATTTGTTTCACCCTCACATTAAACAAATCGTGAGCACAGTGGGTTTTGATCCATGAACTTGTTTCCCGCAATTGAATAAAGGAAAAGGAAATTGCGGGTTGCAACAAGATTTCATAAAATTTGAGGCTGACCAAAGTTTTCTCTTACATGAATAGAATGCAAGATGTCAAACCATAGCCTCGAAAACATCACAAATCTAACAGAAAATTAGTCACAACAAACAGGTGTGATTATAGCTAAGCCTGTTTATTTATTAATACAGAAAGGGAAAATTTTGTGATCCTATAAAGTTAGTATAATATACCTAAGAAGATATTTAGCACAGCTTATTCCAGTATCTTTCGAAATGAGGTAATCAAGAAGCACTTGGTGATCATAATGTATCTGTAGATCAGCAAGTAAAAGACAAGATAATCAATAAGTGAGATTTTATTTATTTTTTATTTTTTCAAATTAAACTAATTAATAAACTGGATAGCAATGGGCGTATCCTATCTGCATGTGAAGGTATTATATAATACTAGCCTCTGAAAGAAACAGATGGAAAAGGTACACAGGATTGAAAATGTCTAACAGATCAAAAGGAAAATCCTTCTTTACATCCTGATATGCAGCATCCTTTCTTTCAAACCTGCATCATATGATTCATATCAATCTCAGGACAGTGGATCCTTCCATTAAATGGTTAATAATAAAAGGAAACAAACAATTACTTACTGTTGCTGGAGACATGATGATATGCTAAGCAATTGCAAAAGCACTTCAAACAATAGATCATCCTGCCATTTAAGTGATAAATAACACCAATGAAACACCAAGATTGTAGAAAGACTCAAAGCTGTTGTGCTAAAGAAGGGGGGTGGGGGGAATACTCCAATTCTCATTAATGCCTCAGTTTTGCAAATATATTACCAATCTAAGAAGCATAGCCATAGACACACTAAAAACGTCCCATTAGAATTTGGAAGTATTCTCAATTCACACATAAATACAGCTCCTTTATTAAAAGCTTCTGTGCTTCACAGTTTCCAATACGTGATCACCTAGCCTAACTTGTTAGAGAAACTTAATAAAATCCCTGATGGTATTTAACTTAACCTTCAAACTCTTATAATCATTATCCTCGTACATTCCATATGGACCCAAGACTTTCAAAAAACCTAAATTTCCAGAACTGAAAAATGTTATGAAGACATAGGCCACCTCAAACAAGCTTCATACTCAAACTACTGTGCACAAGTGGCATGAAAAGGGTGAGTAGACAAACCTCGCGTAGATATAGCTGGAGGAAAGATGATATGAAGTTCATACATATCTCCATGTACTTTTCATGGTTGATAGTGACCTCAGTTGGAAGATGTCCTTGAATCCACTTGTAAAGTTCTTGTGATCCTTTTTTTCTGCAGGAATGATCAAGCTCTGAATCTGGGTTAGTGGTAAAACATGAGCATAAAGATGAACAATTACAGTGGTGAGCATTCTCTCCTCTTTGACTGATCAAACTGAATGAACAAGCCAGTAAGAGGAAAACAGCTTGTCTTTGGAGGTGGCTGGAATACATCCCACATGCTTCTTCGTCCGACAAACTAAATAAAAATGGAGAGCCTTCCAGACAATCACCTTGATCAGACTGAAATTGAGTTAAGGGTTTCTGCAAAAGCTCTTCAAAGTAGTTATGAAGGAGTTCAAACCAAGAAAGAAGGATCGAACAGTCTAGATATGTGAGTGAGCCAAGTCTGATCATCAGAACCTGCAGAAAAAATGGTAATTGGTTTGAAGAGTGCAGTTCATAAAGGGGTCATTCACACTGTCTAACAACGAGCAGAATTGCATACATAAGTAATAGCACAACTTATTGAATCTGAAAAACCAATGGTAAAATAAAAACATGACATAACAGGAAAACAAGGACTTTCCTCAGAAGTTGTTCTTGAGTAAACTTGCTTCCACTCAAAGCATACATGGTTGTAAATTCCAAATTTATTTCTCTTCTTTTTCTCAGTAAATTTTCTAGTGATTATAAACTAATGAAAAAATTAAAAAACTTTAAAGAGCAATCTATAACAATAAAAAATTTGCCTCCCTTTTAAAGAAATGTCAAAAGGATTACTTTACAATTTTTCAATGAAAGATTGCAAGTACTAGTATAAAGGTTGCCAATATACATCCTAAGTATCCCGGCCTATAGTAAAAGTTATCAACTTGAACAATGCACAGAGAACTGGAAGACAGTAAAACCTCCACAATTGGTGAAAAAGTTGAAGGAGATAAGGCTAAATTGTCAATACCAACAACGCAAACAAGTCACTAGACACTGATTTCGGCAAATATATGCCAAGACACGCCAGTCATGCAATTGGAACAGTAATGGCAACTTAATTTTTACAACCTTTATTCTAATTGCACACTGAGGCTTTAATTGGTGCAACATGTCTTCTATATCTTGGGGACAACTTATAACTATGGATTGATTGGATTCTGCCAATGGTATAGATCTCAAGACTAGACATGCTGCTGGAATTTTGGTGTTTAGGTAGAAAAGGGAAAAGAGAGAATATATTTCACTAATGCGATTCTAAATAAATTTTGTACATTATAGTAACCTTATACTTTTCTCTTATTTATTTTTATTTATATTTTATTGTAATTGTATTATTTATTATTATTATTATTATTACTATTATTTTCTTCCTTTCACTTAATTTTTTCTTGCTTTTTATTTGGTTTCATTGACTACTGACCCCAATTAGTTTGGGATATAGGTATTGTAGATGTATACTGACCTTATACTTTGTGTGTGACTCATGGTAAGGTTGCTCCTTTGTAACCGGAAGGTCACAGGTTCAAGTGTGGGAAGCAACCCTTTTGCAAAAAGGCAAGGGTACAACTGCTTATAAACGACCCTCACCCATACCCTTGCATTGGGGACCCTTGTACATCAGGATTTGCACTTTATACTGACCTTATAATTCTATTTATACTAATAATCTAGGTCAATTACAATACAAACAGTACAATTCTAGCCTAATAACACTAACAATGTACTAACATAATATATCAACTCAAAAATATTATTTAGTGGTTCCTGGCATCCTTCAAAGAAATTTGGTTTGAGATTGGGATGGAATATTTTTGTCAAGCTCTGTCAGCACTAAAATTTTACTTCTTGCTCTCTGTTCTCCGCATGCCTACCACAAAAAGCATTCTTTATAATAATCGTAACCTACTTTTTCATAAAATTTAAAGTGGAAACTATGATCGATATCTGCATTCAATTCTACAAGTGTTGAAAAAATCAATTTGAAGTTCATTGAACAAGTGGATGAACCTTACCAGCAACTTGTGTTTCAAGTAATGAATGCTGCATGTCTCAGCACTATCTTCTTGCTTGCCGAGACACCACTTTACAAGTCTAGGTATAAGATTCGTGACTGTGACAATAATTGGATGTTTACTGGCAGAATCACAACCAGTTTCCACAAAATCATTCCGGTCAACCAAAGAGCATAGCAACTGAAGAAAAGTGCCAAGAAACTTAGGCTCCATAGCACCGAAACTATTGCGGCTCAATTGATTCATAGAAGAGCTTTTATTGGTGCCACCAATGTCACAACTCTGATAATACTCATCCAACAAATCCCAAGGCATTTTCAAAAGACAAGAATTAACAGAGTCATAGTACACTTTGACAAGTCCATCATCATAGTCTTCCTTCAACTGTTTGCATATAACACGAAGCACCTGAGTGATGCCAGCCACAGTAGACCAATCACAATTCTTCAGCCCACATTGCATCAGAAAATCAACGTTGGAAGAATCAAAGTCATTATTTTCAGCACCAGAAGAAGGCGCGTACGAACACGATAGCATTCTAGCAATCGCCATTTCCAAGGAACAGCACAACAAATGAATGCAACCATCCCAATTGTTACCCTGCAAATTATCACAGGGAATCATATAGCAGGTGTGATCTAAATTCATCAATCAAAATACTCTTTCATACCGTTGTGGACACAAGCTTTGAAGTTAAGACAAGAGCATTGACAGCCACGTGTCGAACAAATTCACTCTTCACAGTTAGCAAAATCATCTGCCACGAAAAGCAACAACACCGAATAATATTCGCAAGAATGTTACACAGTCAACCAATAGTAGCTGGTCTTCACACTCACCATTTCAGTTACGATTTTCTGTAGACATTGATCGACAGAAGAATGCTGGTTCGAACAGCACAATTCTTCTTTGTCTGGAGCAGGTTTCGCGTCCGCACCAAAATCAAATCCACGAATCTGCACCTGAATTTTTCTCACGACCTAAAATGAAAAATCGTCGATAAGCAAATAAATCAGGTACAGAACATTTAATAGTATTTTGAATATGAGAAAGAATTTAAACCTGAGAAGAAGCGACTAGAATCTCCTTCTCCTTCTCCTTGCACACCGAAACGAACTCACGTGGTTCCTGAGGCACATGGAAAACAGGTTTGGTTTAACGAATCAGTTGAGAATTGAATAAGAAAGGAAACCCTAGAGTTGGAGGTGAGAACAGTGAAACAGACTATGTAGGGGCGGAGTGACTCGTCGACAAGTCGGCAGAGCCACCGGAGTTCACCGGGCGGAGACATTTCCGGTCTCGCAAGTCAGAATTGCATATGCGGTGCCTTACTATCTACTGTGCGATATAACGCCAACCCAACGTTGTCGTTTAAGCCAATAATAGACAAACATTAAACGCTGCCAGTTTCGGAGAGAAACATAGCAATAGATTATAAAGCACCAACACTTCAAAACTTCTGACGTGTTGTGTCTGATATTTTTCGACACTTTCTGATATTCTAATACTTATTGCAAAGACTCAAAAAAGTTCAAATTTTACGTTGTGTTGGATTTTGAGTTCCAACTATTAGATTTATTAAATTACGATTACTATTTTATTGAATTTAATATAAACATTAGGGATATAATTCTTTGCAAAATTGATGGATATTATAAGTTTAGTTTTAGTTTTTTGTTAAATTATTGAATATTAAATGTAATATACACTATATGACTTAAAAATATTATATGATATCAAAACGTGTTCTAACGTGTCGAAATTTAACATTTTTTAGAATTAACGTGTCAGAGTATCGTGTCATGTCGTATTTCATATTCCGTGTCGGTGTCGGTGCAACATAGTCAATATTTGTTACGGTTTACAAATTTAGAAACAACTTCAGTTGAAAAAAAATAGATTTGGTTTAATTTTATTTATAAATCAACTCCCATGTTCAAAACTCATTATAAAAATTAGAATTTAAATTAGTTTTCATCTTTAAAACACATTAAAGGTAAGTTGAATTGATTTTATATTAGTATTTTACTTTAGTATTTGAACACTTAATTTAGCCAATGGGGTGCGGATTCATGAAAAATATTTTCAGTAGTCCAGTGATAATGAAAATTGGGTGTAATATTTATTAAAGATAAGAAAAATACACTTAATTATATTTATCCTACTATTTTTTATTAACGTTACATGAATTTTATTGTATTTTACTTTTAATAAAAGAATATCTATTAGAGAAGCACTCAAGATATGCTCAGATTTATGGCTATCGCCTATCCGTGGAGGTTGGACCGTAAAGTTATGGGATTTGTTTGGCCCTTTTAAATCTAAGCATGAAATGGTTAGAAAGAGAGAAAGAAAACCTTCGTTTTGCTGGCCAAGTCAGTATCATACGTTTATTTAAATTTTTGGCATGTTACGTATCAAATAAAATAGAAATTGGCATGTTAGTAATTTTACTATCGTTGGAACAAAAAATTGTTACTTATAGCTTAATATAAAGATAGGTAGAGGTAGAGTGAAACTTCCTTAGACGATAATAATAAAATAAGATTTAATGGAATGAAATATAGATTGGCAGATAATATATCTTAGAACGGAATGGAAAAAATTATAAACATAATGGAAGATTAGACCCATTTTTATTCCTATATTTTATAAGGTTCTCACCCCCCTTTTCTTCGATTTCATTTTTCCTTTCAATCTTCTTTTTTTTTCTTTTTTCTTTTTTTTTTGACAATCTTCTTTCTTTTACTTATTTATTTATGTGTTTTCTTTTTCTTTTTTCCTTATAATTTATTTTATTTTATTTTTATCCTATTTATTTTTAATTTCTAATTTATTTTCTTACCTTCTTATTTTTATTCTTTTATGTCCTCCTATATATCCTTATTTGTATTTTATTTTTCCTTGCAATTGTGTACAACTTTTTATGGATAATATATTTAAAGTTTATTTTTATTATTTTTCTTAATCTTTTCATAACTTTTTTTTTGTTTATCTATCATCGACCCAACTAATTTGAAATAAATTGTTGTTGATTTTGATATTGATTTTGCTAGAATTTTACTATCGTGCATATACTATCTTTCTATAAATTACCCTACTTTCCAAATATATAACTACTTCGTGGTCCCTTTAAGAAGTTGTCAAATTCTACCATCATAGAATACCTTATGTAATTTCTAAAGAGGTAGGATTCTTTAACACCAATGTCAAATTTAAAATATGACACCTTATCAGAGAGTTATTATATCAAAAAAGATCAATGACTCTGATTTGTAAGCATGTGACACCATTGATATTTTTTAATCTAATAATTCTCAGATAAGATGTCAAATTTTAAATTTGATACTGGTGTCAAAGGATCGTATTAAAAGAGTAACCCCTCACTCCCTACTAATACTATCGTTGAAAATTCACATCACTTTGGATCTTATTGGACCCCGGCAAAATATTTTAAGCCTACTCATGAAATATAAAGTAAAAACATTTTCTATAATAAATTATTCAAAATAGGTTACCAGTATTTTTTTTTTATTTGTCAACTAACCAATTGAATCATACTTACCATTGAAATGCTTGCTTCAATGACTGATCCAAAAGTGTTCCTCTACAGTGGAAACATTTGACAATTTTAAACTCGTAACATCTATAATGTTTTGCATGAAAGTTGCAAAATAACAATCTTTAAGACTGCAAGGTCTCAGGCAGTGAGTCCGACAAGTAGATTATTTCATGTGAGAAACGTAGAAATAATACTGCATCTCTGAGGGGGAAGGGTGTAAACAGAAGAATAAATTTCACTATTACAAGTTTGAAAGTTGAGCCACTCGATGGCCTACCAACATCAATTTTTTGTTTGGTGTTGTTTTGGGTAATCCAAGTACTTATTTCTTACAACTTACAAGGAACACAATCAAAAAATTGACAAAGCCTCTCTTCCATTAAGTAAGGTCCAAAAATGTCTTATTTTTGTAACAAGCCAGCAGATATTGAGCCACTCTCTATAGCATAATGCATAAAACAAGTAATGTTAGCTATGAATATTTTAAGGTAGTGTTTGGTTCGGGAGAAATTTTTTTTTACTAGGGAAATGTAATTGATAGGGAAATGGTTGGAAAGTGAGTTTGATAGGAAAATGTAAAAAAAGTTGTTTGGTTGACCCAAATATTACCAGGGAAATTTATTTAAATATGCAAAATCTATGTTCGGGAGAAACTTTGCACCTGTTTTTTCACTTCCCCAGTTATCTCAAAATACCACATCTCAAGTGGTATTCTGTAATAGTGAATTTAATCCAAAAATCAACACAAAAGTCATTTTTCCATCTATCCTATTTGCCTGGTATTTTTTGAAAAAACTTAAACCAAACGTGGTATTTTCCAATATCCATTTACACTTTCCCATCAATCCCAAAATAAACCTTCAACCAAACACTACCTAAGGGAATCTTCCAATTCCTTTTGACGGGATGAGACTTTCTGAAGGAAGGATCCCATAGCTTAACAAATATTGTTTATTCTCAGCGTCTTTATTAGCATGTACTTATACAGTGGCTACTGCAGGTCTATTGGTGTGGTAGCTACACCTGATCATGAACCCACTAGTTTGTTACAAGTTAGTTAGTGTGTCTCTATATAAATGAGTGTTCTGTGTATTTGTTAAGCACTGAATATATCACACATACAATTCTCTTCAGCTTCAATGGATTCTCTCACTTCTCTCTCTTACTCTCTCTCTCTGAGTTCCTTGAACTCTATTATGGTATCAGAGCCTTCTTCCTGAAGACCTGATTCATAGTATAGTTCATCATGACTTCCGCACCAGATTCTTCTCCACAAGCAAAGTCGAATATGGAGGATCGAGCAACGGAATTCAAAAGTCCACAGTTGTTCAATCAACAGATTGCAGTGAAGTTAACAGAAGAAAACTATTTGTTCTGGAATCAAATTGTTGAACCGATTATTACTTATCATCAAATGCATCGTTTCCTAGTGAATCCAAAAATTCCACTTCAGTTTCAGTCAGAAGAAGATCGACTTAATGGAATACAGAATCAAGCATATGTGGATTGGATAACTTAGGATTCAATGCTCCTGTCCTGGTTACTTTCAATAATTTCTGAGTCAATCGTTAATGAGATTCTTGGAGTGAAGCATTCGCTTGAAGCTTGGGACAAGATTCACAAGCTATTTCAAGGTATGATGAAATCTAAGTCACGACTTTTGCGTTCGGAACTGCACTCAATCAAGAAAGGATCGAAAACAGCAAAAGAATTTCTCTCTCGTATTAAAGGTATCTGTGATTCACTCAGAGCTATAGGAAGTTCAATCAGTGATGAAGAACGAACTGATATTGAGCTTGGAGGTTTACCTTCTGAATATTTTGCATTTATTGCTACTGTACATGGACGTGAAAATCCATATTCTATTGAGGATCTTAGCATTCAATTGCTAACTCTTGAACAAATCCTTGCTAAGCAGTCTGAAACATTATTTTCAGATTCATTAACTGTTAATCTGACACAACATGTAAATGAAGTAGGAAAACAGAATTCTACTGATAATAATGGAGTTAACACCAATACTCTTTCAGCTGTTTCACACAATCAAGAACAGAGAACTGGTTTTCATAACTCAGATCACTCTGGACGTTCGTACTCCTCAAACAGAGGTAGAGGACGTTATGGAGAACGTAATTTCAGAGGTAGAGGACGCTATGGAGGTAGATCAAATGTGCAATGCCAGTGTGCTACAAATTTGGCCATGATGTTCATACATGTTGGTACCGATATGATGACAATTTTGTTCCTACTTTTCCACCTCCTGCAAATGTATCACAGATGTTTCCTCAAGCTCCGATGAGTCACATACCTCAACCAGGTCGTTCTCTTCAGTATATTAGACCTCAGCATATGCTACCACAAGCTATGGTTGCTGCTCATGTGGCTACACCTGCCTTGGAATGGTATCCAGACTCAGGAGCTACACATCATGTTACCTCCAATCCTTCGAATTTAATTCAAAGTCAGCAACTCAGTGGTACTGACCAAATCATGATAGGAAATGGCCAAGGTTTGACTGTTGCAGCAGTTGGTTCCTCCCTTTTTACTTCCCCACTCGATCCTCACACACAGTTACACCTGAAAAATCTCTTGCTTGTGCCTTCTATTGTGAAAAATCTTGTTAGTGTTAGTCAATTTGCACAAGATAACTCTGTCTACTTTGAATTTCATCCTACTTTCTGTCTTGTTAAATCACAGGAGTCACACAAGGTTTTACTTGAAGGCACTCTTGACTC